CCCCAAAACCCCAAAACCCCAAAACCCCAAAACCCCAAAACCCCAAAACCCCAAAACCCCTAGGGGGTGAAATTGGATTGAACGGTGCAATTTTTGGAGAGATTTTAGCGGAGGTGATCTGAGAGATTAGTGAGGGATGTGAATTTGGTGGTGGATGAAATCTTGGGAGGATTCTTCAGTGCGGTCTTGGTCGTCGATGAGGGATTGGTGGGCGGAGTTGGGGTTGTTGATTTGGTTGTTTTGGAGTCTATGGTAATACATTCCAAACTTACCTTGATGCTAACCTTGCTCTTTCTTGATTTCTCTTTCTCCTTTTATATAAGATGCAAAGTATTGTATTTGCAATGATCATTCCTCCCCCAAGCATGATGGGGAGATAAATAGGCCAGTTGAAGGAAGAGCCTCCTCTCTTCTTTGAATCAAATGCATTTGCAGATATTGAGAAGCTTCCTACGTTACCATTTTGAGGTAAAACAAGAATTTTAATAATTGATGCCCCATATTTTGTGGGCAAAATTTCTTTTCGGGCTTCATTGGGATTTTCTAAAAATTGCAGTTCTCCTTCAAAAATATAATTGGTCGAATAAGGATTAGAGAACAAAAGAATTTTAGAATTCTTAATGTCAGACGAGCTTAGTCTAAAGCTATCGTACATATGAGAGTCTTCAAATTCTAGCTCATACACTCAGACCTGGTCTGCAGGAATTGAGGATGCTGATATAACTTCAGAATTCTCAGACAAAAATGAAATTTTTCTTTCGCCACAGATCTCATAATTAGTGGGACAGTTAAGGTACACTCCATATTGTCCTCCAATGTACTTAGCTTCATTATTTCAAGTCCAAGAGCTTCTTACTGAATAATCACAGTCATTATAAAAATTTTCTCCTGAGCATCAGTGATAATTTATAACTGAAAATTATTTTCCTGACAAAGAAAGTCCCCTTGATTGACGCACTGAATGCATTCTTGGACAGTCTTCACATCAGACATTGCAAAGCTAGAGAATAAGAGGCAAGCAAAGGTGACAAAGATCTTCATTTCCAATTTCCAATTACAAATTTCAATAATTTTATTTCCCTCTGGGGTTTTGGGGTTTTGGGGTTTTGGGGTTTTGGGG